ACATTTCGACGAAAATGAGTTGGGGCAGTGCACGAAAGCGGACAGATATATTACATCGCATGAAATTAATAACCTAATATTTCCAGTTTTAGAATTATATTAAAAACATTTCTAGAATCGGTAAATATTTACAGAGGCACTTCATAGTAACTAATTGATATAAATTGAAATACTGAGCAGAGCAGAGTACGTAAGTCGCGTGAGATAATCCCTTCCTCTATCAACGCCTCTGTGGTCTAATGGTCAAAGTTCCCGGCTACAGATCCAGAGGTCCTGGGTTCGATTCCCAGCGCTAACAGATATTCTGAGAAGTAGTGGGTCTGGAACGGTGTCCACTCAGCCTCGTGAGGATAATTGAGGAGCTACTTCAAGGAAATAGCGGCTCCGGTCTAGAGAACCGAAATTATCGGCTGTGGGGGTCTGCTGCGCTCACCACGCGACACCCTCTATCCGCTAAAGTTGGTACTAACTTCGCCTACAAGCGGCGGTCGCTCGATCGGTATAGTTCACTTCCGGACTACAGGACACGGAGTTTATTATCAACGTATATTTATTTGCATTGTGGTTAATGGCGATCTGACAGGCTACAAAGCTTACAAGATCAGATCTGTATCACGTGCTAGGGTCAAGAGGCAGGAGCTCGAATGTAAAAGAGCAATAACCCTCAGTATTCTAGGCGTGCGCAGTAAACACATGGAGACAGTGGTACTAACAGGGCCATGCACTGACACAGTAAATACAAAGTACCAGATTCAAATGAAATTATAAAAAACTGTGAAAAAAAATGTACATAATGTGACTCTTGATAATGATTGGTTACGGGACGGACGGCCGAGGGGTCAGAGTTCGAGTCCCGGTAACGTGGACATTTTTCTCTTCTCCACTTCGTCCAGACCGGCTCTGGGGCCCAAACGGCCTCTACTCAGTGGGTAACTGGGGCTCTTTCTCCGGGGGTAAAGCGGCCGGGAAGTGAAACCTGCCTCCCCCCTCCAACTAGAACCGAGATGAAGAATGCGTGGATCTACACATCCATACCCAAATACGACCGGAGGAAAGTACATCATTTGAGTAGCCCTCATATCCTTGTCATCAGCTCATGGAAGTCGAGAGAGACACGTGTGGCCGCGTGGTCTGAGGTGCACGTATTCTACTAATCAAACTCTGGATCAGGGGTTCGCATCCTGCTCGGTGGTATGTTGTGAAAGCAGAGATCTTATAACGGGCTAATGCCTCTTGCAGGGAACCCTACAAAACGTCTATGAGTAATTTTCGAAACCGAAAGAAATATGTGCCCTAGATCCCACTGGTCTATAAAGTCTACACAGAAAGGAGGATAATAATAATAATGATAATTATAGTACTACTAACAATGATAAAAAAACAAACTCCGTGGCTTTAGTCTGTAAGCGAACTACACCGACCGAGCGACCGCCGCTTCTAGGCGAAGTTGGTGCCAACTTTTGCGGGTAGAGGGTGTCGCGTGGTCAGCGCAACGGATCCCCACGGCCGTTAATTTCGATTTTATAGACCGGAGCCGCTATTTCCTTGAAACAGCTCTTCAACTCTCCTCACGAGGCTGAGTGGACCCCGTTCCAGACCCACTACTTCTCAGAAAATCTGGTAGCACAGGGAATCGAACCCGGGACCTCTGGATCTGTAGTCAAGAGCTCTGACCACTAGACCACAGAGGCGGGCGATATAATAATAATAATAATAATAATAATTGGAATGAGGACGAGGAAAATGAAAGAAAGTTTGCTAGGTGGACAAACATTCAGCTATTCCCTGGCTCAGATGTCCCGCCAGAAACTTTAATGCAATATAAATCATGTCGTCAGACTCGGAACGCAATCTGTAGAAAAGTTGGGGGGTAATTAAAGAATTCAGATCAGTACCTCAAGAAATGCGCCTAGCGTCGTTAGAACTTTCCGGGAAATTATATACATCCAGAAGTCTTTATCGCGGCGTTCCAAACAGTGTGTGATTAATACGTACACATATAACGAGGGGGAGCTGAAACATAAAAGCATTACTCCAACGTTCATACACCAAAACAACTGAAAATCTAACATTAAACCGTGTTATGTCTGTGGTATGCCGTATGCTTATTTACGAAAATGTAAGCAAATACAAGCTAAATCTAACCATGTAACAGGCCGAGGAGGCCCGTAGGGTTGTGAGACGTCAAGGCTCCCACATTTTCTAGACAATCGACTCACAGATGGCGGTGAGGTTGTCAAGCCTTACGCGCCGGCCGCCCTTTACCCACCAGGAAGATTCCTGGTACTCATTTCTGCTAGAGGCTAAGCCGGTCACAGGGCCACGGCGCGGCTGGAAGGATTAGGTAAAATAAAAAAATACAATGATATTGCGGAATCGAACCCATGACCTTCAGCTTGTAGCATAGGCCTCAACTAATTTGGCTTCCGCATAAATGCTGGTAAAAAGCTATTCAAATATGAGCCGAAGGCAAAATTATTCCGCCCGGAAGTACTTTCCAGGCACGCAGACTGCGGTTCTTCAAAACTGGAGCCCCTCCCTCCAAAAATTATAAATCTCGAGAGAAACTCTTTGCCAGGCGTTCTTTCCTTTTTGCCTCGACTCAACATCAGTGGTACTGGTAAACACAAGAATGCTTTCCCAAAGTAGTAAGTCTACCTTCCTCTTCGGTAGCTCCTTGATAATGGACATTAGGATTCACTTCTTGACTTCTTCTTGACTGTTCTTTCCTGTTGGTTACTTTGCCACGCTGTCTCGTAGCTAGAATATACAGAGTGTCCCACGAAGAAAGTGCCAAACTTCGGGAGGATGTTCCTTATGTTATAGTACAGGACATACTTGTATTCGTACTGGTAAGATAGTTGATAAGTCGGTCACGGTAGCCGACCAATCTAAGGCATGAACTGTTTTCGCTTGCTCTGAAGCAGGAATCGTTGGTTTGAATTCCGCTCAGGCTGGGGCCACACGAGTTCACAGAATGCGTCCTTTGTAACGAACGTCGTGACGTCCGTTGTAGAAATAAACAAGAGGGGCGAATGCTACCCTTTGTTCTGGCTCCATTGCAGACAAAAACTACGCACCGCATTCTGCAACTGTGTGGTGTTCTCAGTAACGTCCGTCATAAAGTACGTTCGTTACAACGGACGTATTTTGTGCGCTCGTGTGGCCCCAGCCTCAGGGTATGGATTTTTAGTATGTGCATGCGTTTATACTGTGTTTGTGTTGTCCTGTGTTTATGTAGAGGCCTTACGACCAGCTGATCACTCGTCCAAGGAGTCCTACCGTCTTCAAAAATGATCATGAAACTGAAAATCAGAGGTCAGGGCCCACGTGGGCTGTAGATGCAGTAAAAAAAAAGATAGTTGACAAATGACAAATTGGAAATCATTTAGAATTGTCGTGGACTAAACGGGGTACCAACCTGATAAATGTGTTACAATACCAGGTATCCAAACCCAGATTCGAAGTGGACACCTCCAAAAAACAATTCTTATCACTACAATTACTACAGCGTGAACTGAGAGAGCGCCCGTACAAACGCATTATCCTAATTTACGAGCTCAGTCATGCGGTAACGGATGACGCAATTTTAAAACGAAACCAGCGGTGACAGTCATAACGTAGCTTAGGTATAGACAAAATATGCGCACTTCGCCATGTTTATGAAATGGAGACAGAGAGTATACATGTTGCCTGAACAAAGGAAACGTCAGTCATGTGCCGAGGAAGCAATACACCTCCTAACCCACACATTACATGCCAGATCAATGTCATAATATTTCAACGAAAGTGAGTTTGGGGTGTACATGTGGCATAGGTGCACATTACTTCATATAGAATTAATAACATGCTATTACGAGCTTTAAAATCATATTACAAACATTTCTAAAATCAGTAAATATTTAACGAGTTGACTTCAAGCATAGTGTAATTGATGTAGAGTAAAGGTCTGAATGCTTTTGGATTATACAGCCCAATAACACGTAAAAACGACATGATAGAGTTGTATAGCTTGTCTGTGAAGGTCTGTTTATTCCTATAGCGCTTTATAGCCACAAATTTCCTACCCGGTATTCATAATTTCGCTTCAATATTTCTGGAAATTTCATAAAATCACTTGGGGCTTGGTGGAAGAATCAATGATCAACATACTTAGTACATCATAAAAATGATTTTTTCTATTATTCTTCCACCTTGAAGGATTAGGGCCTATGTTGTTCTCTCATTCAGAATTGTGATTGTGGATATTATATACGGTCGGTAAGGTTCCTTGGACGGGGGATCAGCCATGTATAAAACCCGCTACCTACACAGGTCAACATAAATATAGAAGAAACGCGGACAGACACCAATGCCTAGAGTGGGATTCGAACCCACGATCCAAGCTTTTAAGAAGGCATGGCCACTGTGACCAGTATAACAATTTTTTCTCTTCGGCACTACAGCCCCACTTTGGGCCTTGGCCCACCTACATGAAACTCTCCGTTTCGCTTCGGTTTACTAGATCTTAGACATTCGGTAGGACCCCTTGGGCGGGTGATCAGCTCGTCGCAAGGCCTCTACCTGTAAATAAACACATAAAAACGCACGCACACACAAACACTAAATATCCATGCCCTGAGTGGGATCTGAACCCACAATCCCGACTTCTGAGCGAGAGAATACATTGCATGCCTTACACCGCTTGGCTACCGTGACCGGCTGTATAACACGTTTCTTTAATTTGAAATTGTTCTCTTTGTCTTACGTCTGGTCTGCATGGGGTTTGGGGTAACGATGCAAAAGGAAGAAATGAATCTTTGATCCAGACTGGGGACAACATCTAAAGCAGGACACCAGAAAACGCTGGTCAACATTCTTCTGGAGGTCAAAATATTTGTCTGCCTGCAAGATTTTCAAAAGAATTTATGATCCTTGGGATTAACTGTACTTTCCTGAAACTGATTTCGAAAACAAAGACAGAGGAACTCGTAAGTGACCACACCCTCGTCAGAACTTACGTTGGTCCGGGTCCTCAATATAGGTGACGCGGAGGGCTGCTGCCATTGGTGCGGCCAGGGCTCCTGCTACGCACCAGATACCAGCAATGGCAAGCCTCGCTCTCAGCTTCGACGGGCGGGCACTGGAAACAACACCACACACTGAGCGTCTTGAAACTGAAACAGACATGTATGTAGGACTGCTAACTACTACATGCACTCCTGCTGCTTTACTGTATCTAAAACTGTTTATTGTACAACACAGTCCATCAACAATGCAATAAATTGTTCCTTCCTTCTTACACTTTCGACACAACATGTTTCGGCCCTAAATGGCCATTTTCAGGTGTCTTACTATGCTAAAATTGCTACACCGCACTAATATTGTCCATTCGCTGCATATGCGACTGCATGTTTCATGGTTCAAAATGTCATAATCGTAGTCAATTGGTATGCGCTAAAATATCAAACGCTGCATGTAGTTCACTTAATTTAAATCAATAAAATCTATTAAAATTTTCTATTAAAATTTAAAATTTTCTATTAAATCAGAACCAGTCTCTACTTCATTTTCATGAGAATTACGGAAAGTTTTGTAGAACCCATAAGAAAAATAAATAATTGAACGTCGAAATTAAAAAATATTCAAGCCATCATGAAATATCTCGCCTTTTATTGAACTCGAAAGTTCATTACCATGTTCACAAGAGCTCTCCGTTCTACCTTATGCTGAACTGACTGAGAGCAGCCCACTTCCTCACGCTTTATTTTATTGAGAATAATATTATTCTCTCATCCAGACCTAAGTTCCCAACACTTTCGCTTATTTCCCGTTTTCCCACTGCATGTGTGTATTAGTTTTCGGCTATCAATGTGCTTTATATGTCGACGGATAAGGGACGGGGTATTCAAACTAATTATTCGGCTACAATATTCATAAATGAACCTACATATGCAGTTTGCACGTCCGTTGTTCCATAAACCAGTTGAATTATAATAGCAGACAGTCCCATTTACAGAACTTTAAATCATTAAATCACTATTTAAGAACTGTCACGACTCAGACTATTAGTAGCAGGCGACTGGGTTCGATACCAGGTCAGGTCATGAAGGATTTACGTTGAACAAAGTGGCATTTGAGCGGATTTTCTCAGAGTACTTTGGTTTACCCTACCAATTTTCTTCCCACAAACTGCTCCACAATCATTAATCGTCCTATTATCTGACACTATAACATTTGAACAGGGAAATACCGTTATATATTCAGCTTAAATTTAAATATATTTAAAAACTGAGATAAATATTTGTAATATACAGTCTCCAAGAGGAGAATGAATTTAGCAACGAGACTGATGAGACATATAAAGCACAATGAGAGATGAAAGTGAATACAAACATATAGTGGGAAAACGGGAAATTAGCAAAGTGCTGTTGACATAGGCGTCAACGAGAGAATAATATTATTCTCGATGTTAATAAAATAAAGTGTGAGGAAGTGCGCTGGTCTCAGTCAGTTCAGCATAAGACAGAGCGGAGAGCTCTTGTGAAAATGGTAATGAACTTTCGGGTTCAATAAAAGACGAGACATTTCATGATGGCTTGAATATTTCTTAGTTTCGACGCTCAAGTATATATTTTTTTCTTATCGACTGAACAAAACTTTCTGTAATTCTCATGAAAGTGAGGGAGAGACTAGGTTCAACAACGCTCCAGTCGAACACTGGAATTTCATTTGCCGCTAAAGGAAAATTCGTACATATAGATAAAGCCCGTTTTCAGAAGAGAAATAAATTATATGTTTATTATAAAAGGGAGTTCTGCTTCACCCATTAATTTCCACAGCTCCTTCCGCACATCATGAAAGAAAGGTATCGCGGAGAAACTCGGTGTTATATCTCTTTGGAAGGCAATGCCTATTAAATTTAGTTGGAATTATTCAAAAGTTTGAAATATCTAGCCCACTTCCTCTTTCTTCTTCTCTTAACTTCCTTTGTAACTCAAATAAGTAACACTTTAAAACTTTAAAGACCAAATTTCTTCTAAATAATACATAAAAATCGAGCCTCTACCTCACAGGAAGCATTACGTCTCCACTACAAAGCCCAACCGGTTAATGCAGTTCAAGGAAACAATCGCTGTTTATCGTGAGAAACACACGGAACACACAAATAATATAGAAATTCAGTTCGTACCTCACAGGAAACACATTACGTCTCCACTACAAAGCCCAACCGGTTAATGCAGTTCAAGGAAACAATCGCTGTTTATCGTGAGAAACACACGGAACACACAAATAATATAGAAATTCAGTCTGTACCTCACAGGAAACACATCACGTGTCCGCTACAAATCCCCACCGGTTAATGCTGTTTAGGGAAACGGTCGCTGTTTATTGTGAGAACTATACGGAACACACAAATAATACAGAGATTCAGTCCGTAACTCTCAGGAAACACATTACGTCTCCGCTACGTAGCCCAACCGGTTAATGCTGTTTATTTAATTTACGACTGTGTCGGTCTCTAGCGCCCGTGTGCAGAATGATTAGTGATGAATTGGAAAGTGTTCGGTATGAAGCAGTTCTGGCCTTATTTGAAACTGAGGAAAACCACGAAATATTTATCATCATCATCATAATCATCAGGATAACTGGTGTCCAGAGATTCGAAATTCGGGCTAAACTTCACGGGGAAAACCAGGGGCCCAATTTCTGAAAATTTTAATTACTGAGGCATGAATATGGGGGCCCCTGCTCAGGGTAAATGGAGCGAAGATCTCAACGTCTGTTCCGGAAGACGGACTGGTACATCGGAGAACACGTCCGGCTGTTCAGAGGGCCAGACTTTCTTGTAATGCTAGTGGGGTGGGACTAAGTCCCTTGTACTGCGGCCACTTCTGGCCTATTGTACCAGCCCCAGATGATAGGTGAGGGTGATTGTGGATCAACTGGTGGAGTGAAGATTGGCAGGGGAGACCGAAGTACTAGGAGAAAACCCGCCTCAACGCCACTTTGTCCACCACAAATCCCACTTGACCAGACCCCGGGATCGAACCCGGGCCGCCGCGGTGGGAAGCCAGCGACCAACCGCTTGAGTTATGGCGCGGCCAGGGCCAGACCCTTACTGGGGTACCCAACACACGGCAGGTTACAACTTTACACAAATCGACAAGCTAACGTGCGAAGAAAGTTCAAACCAGTGAAAATTTAGATGAGAGATGGAAGGCCCTGTAATGTCCATTAGACCGTAGAAAAGGAATTAGGGAGTGGTATCCAAAGTGGGGTCCTGTTGAGGCGGGTTACAATACTGCTACCTTCAACGTGGCCCTGCGAGTCGTAGAAGACGACGAAAAGGGAACCCAGCGTCAAAGGGTGTAACTGGGTCACTGGGGGGACATAAATATAAGGATCTAGTCCTCCAGGTTGAGGGCTGGGCGCGAGGCTGACGACATTGTTGCGAAATCCAAAGAAGTTAAACCGGATGACAAATGCTGGCAGAGTCTTCCAAAGAAAACTATGGCTCAAAAGGGGCTCTTTTGCCAATGATGATGATCGGTCTCCAGAATGTATAGCGTCGAATGGCAGGATGAAGTGGAAAGGATATAAAAGGAAACGGCTTTCGCCTAAACGGGATCCTTTCCCGGAATTTTTCTGGAATGGCTGAGAAAGAGAAAGGAAAACCTCAGTCATGTTTAGTCAGCGCTGCAAGAGAAGTTCAAAATGGAGGCCCTCCCGAATACAAGTGTAAGAACCATACCGCTAGGATAACCTTCTCGGAATGACCTATTTGTATGCACAAATACACAACAGGTTTGTTTTCAGATGAATTGTAAGAACCATATCAGCAACATCGTATTCGAATAAAGTTAATTTTAAAGTTTCGACTTCAAAATGTCAGCCCAGTTACAAGAAGAATTGTGTTTCAATTTCTAGTAACCGACAATGATAGGTATTCTGCCAGTCTTTTTAAGCATTTTGAAACTATGCCGAGATTTCAGATTTTCATAGGCGGATAGTATTTATTCTACTACATATGCTGAGTAAGTGAGCTGGGACAACTCAGTTGGGATAGCGACAGGCTGGAAGAACGTGGTTTGACTCCTAGGAGAGGCAAAAAGGTTTTATGTACTCTACAACGTCCAGACAGGCTTTGGGGCCCAACCAGTCTCTTATACAACGACGACCTGGGCCTCTTTCCCTGGAGGTACAGTGGCAGGGGCGTAAAACTGAACACTCACATATGTATATCTAGTGCCGATGTAGAGAACGGTGGAGCTATACCTCCACACAGCTATACACCGCTGGCTAAAAAGTATCCGACTTTTTTTTCCGCTCTAAGTAATGGCCAAAGGGGTGGGGAAACTGAGCGTAGCGGTAGAAGGGACTTTCATGCGCATGCGTGATTTTTTGCTGACTCGCAACACCGCCGGATGCGTCTGTGGCTGCCAGATAGCGAAGTGGTGTAACAAGTGTTCGTCACATTCTCGTTTCGCTCAAGATGACAGAACGCTTGGAGCAGCGATACTGCATCAAGTTTTGCAGAAACTTCGGGATACCCAAGCGGAAAAAATCCGCAAAATTCAGCAAGCTTTCGACGATGACGCAATGGGGGTCACTCAAATGAAAGAGAGGATGAAGTTTGTGGAGTCACAAGGGGCCCACTTTGAAGGGGATTAGGTATTGTAACCACCCAGATATAGAACTTTGTTTTCCCGGCTCAAAGTAGTATCAGTAGATAGAGTAGTATGTATGAATGGTGTAATTATACACAGGGACAAATTTATTTTTACCACGTGCTGAATAAAACAAAACAGGATGTTTATAAAAAAAATATGCAAAATTTAAGCTTCTATAGAACTTATTTACATAGGTGTGGCACTGTTCGTGTGATACTGCAATGTGAATTTACTGGGGTTTTGGACTTTGTCCATTGTAAGATTTTCTTTAGAATACCGGCCGTTGGACAAAAAAACAAAAAACAAAAAAAAAAAAACAGCAAACCCAGATGATATAATTTACCGTCACAATCCTTCGGAATCAACTACAACAGTGGTTTGGCAGACCGCGTATAACTGGATTCACACCGTGTATAACTAAATGCTTCTCTTTGGGAAAAGCAGATATTTTCATTTTTATTTTCACGCGTATAATCAAAAGCGCGATGGAGCAGACTTTGCAATACTGGAAGAAAGTAGACTTTTCTGAGGCTTCATTTAAACGCTGTCTCACTTGGAGAAACAAAACAAGTTTTCTAATACTTTATTTTTTCTCTTTTCCATTTTGAATCCTCCATCTCATAAAACGTCCCAGAATAATGAAGCGAAAGCGGGGATTCGCTCGCTTATACGCTCTACAGAGGCGTATTTAGTACTGTCTTTTGCTTTGGTGAGTATTTTAATTAAGAGATTCTTGGCTTTAAAACTGACTTCAAACCGTCGAAAATCTAAATGTAAAATGGAGAGGTTTACATATAATTTTAAATGTATGGAAAATATAGAGATATTACCGCTTAATGAGCGCACTTTGTCGCATATAGAATATTGAAGTCTAATTTCAGAGTACATATTGGTATTTCTTTGAAGTACGGAGTACGTGATGAATATTGCTAGCTTTGAGAACGAAAACTGTTAAGCTGAACATGAACGAACAGATCTGTACATTGCACGTAGCTCGGAAGAATATTCCTTGTGATATTTGAAGTCACTATGCCGTTCACCATAGAAATACAGTTTTATAAGAGTTGGCATCATACAGGCATGTAGTTTCCGGATGTTTCGAGACACGTACTGTCTCCAACTTCAGGATAGAAGAGTAAGTTGGGAGTGGAACAGGGGAGTGCCGATTTCGACCCCTGAGGAATGTTGACAATTGATAAAGAATATCTAGTTAGTTAGTTAGTTATTGGAGAGGGTGGGTTTCCCCATGCATTTAGACCTGTATTGGTCCATTGTGCTTCCCTCTATGATTTCTACCAGTCTCTATATCCTACCGGTACTGGTGCTTACCATCAGTTCCGTCCAGCCAGCGAGACCGGCTCTACTAGCTGAGAGGTACTATAATGCTTCCCCCATCTACCAGAGGTATTAGAGACTGCTGTTGGGCGGGAAATGTCCGTAATTTGGCTCAGTGATCTCCTTTGGAGATATGAGGTTCTTTTACGTGCCGTAAAGCTACGACACGGGACCCACGGCTTAAAGTCCCTCCCGGAGGACTTGTTCCCTAAATTTTTCAGCCCTTAAAAATTCGACGACCTCCGCCGGGTATTTGAACCCGCTTACTACGAGTCATGAGGTGGGAACGTTACCTCTAGACTACGGAGGCCGCTTTAAAGAATATCTATCTATGGCTCTAAGGTCCTTTGTAGGTCCTTGGCCACTTTTTCAGTTTCTTGATCTTTAACACAGTCGGTAGAACTCCTTGGACGAAGGATAAGTCCGTCGTAACGCCACTACCTACACACAGAACAGCACGAACACAGAACAAACGCATACAGACACGCATACCTCAAGTGCGATTCGAACCAATGATCCCAGTGTTTGAACTGGTGAAGACAGTTCATGCCCTAGACCGCGCGGCCGCTGTGATCGGCTGGATAAAGAATATGAGGTCCTCAAAAGGGGTCTTTCTCTAAAGCAGGGAGTTTGGTAGGTGTAATAGCTCTTGTGAAAGGGAGTGCGGTAAAGACAAGTCAGGTGAGATGTAGTAAGGAAGCAGTCGCCCTCAAAGGGCACATTCCAAGGGCAGAGTGGGTGGGAGAAGAGGCAAATAAGTTACAGAGATGGCAGAAGGAAGTGGGTAGCATAATTGCAAGAGGGTAAACTAAATTTTGCGACCGCAGGAGAAGGAAATAGGAATGAGGCGTTAACAACAAGAACATATTCCCCTGAAAAGTAACTGTATCGTCGCCATGTTTGTAACTGTTAATTTAGAGGCAATATTTAACAAAATGTTTATAGGAATGTGTATGATCTGTGTCCATGTCAAATTTTATAGGCCTAAGTTAAATGGTGCGTTAGTCATTTCTGTCAAACGGAAGGCTGGACACAGATTTCAAACAGCCATCATGCTGTTGTCTTATTTTTATAGAAAGAAAGAAAAAAGCACCCTAACAAACCTGTGTACTTTTCAAAGGTTTCTTTCAGCACATGAGGTTCTAGCTCAGACCGAGGAGAGTTCGGAACCCCCACAGGAAGAAGAACGTCAGCCGTTAGAAGCCGCTACCAAGCAACGGCTAGTGAAATAAGAAGACTTTATGTGTGTCATAGTTACAGTGATTTTTTGAGTGTGTAACTCAGCGATGCTGTCATAGCTATTTGTAGTTACGAGTGTAAAAGTGTCCAATATATCCGATTACCAGTACAAACCCCGTCTGTAGTCACCTCATCACGTGACAACATGAACAGAAACGCATGTAGTTCATCATGTGGAGGCGTCTTAAATATTTCTAATGTAGGCCTAAATAAAAATTTACGTGTGGCGAATTTCCGTAACAGATTCACATATCAGATCACATGTACATAGGTTCTACAGTTCTTGAGGTGAAGCAAGCTCTACATGTGTTCACCTTATGCACATCCTGCAAAGAACACACAATAAAATCTTTAAAATGGGGACACATTTCAAGCATTTGTGAATTGTAGTAGAAATGACAAAGCAGAAATTGATTTGAGGAAAAAATGTCAAGGGAAAATTCATGAACTCCACCACCGAAATTCAATAATATTTTCTGAAAATGCTGCTAGATAATTCATTTAAGAATGATTTCAAAACATAGAGAGTACGGTTTTCTATTTTTCATTCTTCATGCGTTTGGCAGAGCAGTATTTCAAACTAAACCCTCTGCGTGACTTCAGAAAGTCTGTAGCTAGACGATATAACCTAGTTAAGAAATCTCCATAGCATGAAATGAAAATCCTGGCTGGCACACGTTCATACCTTCATGTAAATCAAATTTATGTCTCTGGCATCACATTAAAAATTCAGGACCTGGAGGACACAAATTTTACTGTTAGCTCAAAGAATGATCAAAATAAAATGAATATAGAATAGAAACGGAAACAGATGTAGGCTGCATGTTCCTACGTTGCTTCATAAAAGCAGAACTCGCACTTTTTTCAGCACATCACAGGAAATGTAATATCAAGACGAACATCGCTGGAAACGCGCTCGGTCTGGGAGCGTGCCTATGCAGGATCTAGAAATATGTAACTACAGACGTGAAATCACATTCTAGATTCTTGCTATTCCAGAGGAAAACTATCAAGTCAAGACCACGATGGACACAGATTAAAAAAAGGAAAAATATTAAACATAAAGTGGAAATAGAATAACAAAATAAGATAAATGTGACCAAAAAAGAAATGAACGTGACAACAGAATATTAATAACAAATACATAGATGAGTAAATAATGTTACATGTAGGGGGGTTGTGCGTGTCTTATATGACGGGTTCTGCATGGGTTAATTGGATTTAATGATCCTTATACATTCACTACTCGGGACTACAGGAAATACAACTCTATCACTAATCTACACACTTCACAGTTCACCGTTACACACAGACTAGGATAATCAGTCTTCATTAGTCATATCCTGGCAACGGATTTATAACCGTCTCACTGTAATTTCAGATGACACATGAAGTCTTCTGGTCACAGTCTAATTCATTTCTTGTTATTTCTTCTCAATCACCTTAAATTTACATCTCCAGAATTCGACCCAGTTCTCGACAACTTGACTCCAAACTTCACTGCTCTATGCTGCCTGACACTTCTTTATAACCACCCTGCACGAGCCACGCCGAAAATGCAGCCTCTATTGTTAAGGAGGCCTGTTTACTAATCCGTTGCCTAGCAATGGACTCTCTATTGTTACGCGCGTTTGCTTCCACGGCGATCTGTTTACCGAGTCGTTGTCTAGCACTGTGTCTATACGTCACAATACACACGACAGAACTTGTTCCTGTATCTAATTAAGCACTACAACATACAGACGTACACTTAACGGATTCTTAACTTGAACACTTAATGCAGACGAGTGGTTTGTTGTTACAGTGTGCCTACCTGAGGGGGTTCAGGATCGCCCGATGCCGGTCCACCGCGATGGCCGTCAGTGTGAAGATACTCACGTTGACGCTGAGCACCTGGACGAACGGACAGAAGGCGCACATGAAGTGGGGGAGGTTCCACCGCTGCAGCAGAGCCGCCTGGAACTGGTGGAACGAAACTGAATGTAACATTAGGAGGACTTCAAGCGCCAAAACACGGAACTCTAAACCACTGCAAGTGGGATTTGTGGTGGACAAAATGTCTCTAGGGTAGATCTTACCCCGAGTACTTGGCTTTACCTGACAACTATCATTTCACCAACTGCGACGTATTCACCGACGCTGCAGACTCGATACTGACAGCCTCTTTAAGTGACAAATATAAAAGAAAGGGAATGTGTCTAAAGGCTGCTTAAATCGGTAGTGATTGCGTTTTTCAAATCATATTTAGTTAGGTGACCAGATGAATGCACCGCCTCTGTGGTGTAGTCGTCAGAGTTCCTGAATATAGATCCAGAGGTCCGGGTTCGATTCCCAGCGCTACCAAATATTTTGAGAAGAAGTGGGTCTGGAACGGGGTTCACTCAGCCTCGTGAGGATAATTGAGGAACTATTTCAAGGAAATGGCGGCTGCGGTCTATAAATCCGAAATTAACGGCCTTGGGGATTCGTTTCGCTGACCACATGACACTCTATATCCGCTAAAGTTGGCACTAGCTTCGCCGACAAGAGGCGTCTCTCGGTCTGTATAATTCGTTTGCGGACTACAGGCCACGGAGTTTGAAGAGATGAATGTCTCATAAGAATTGTCTGTTGAGTTTTTCTCTTCAAAATGTTCCACCACAATTTGTGGCAGTTTCTTTTTGTTTTCAACCCAACAAAATAACTATTTGTATTTAATTTTAAACCAACAGTGGAATATAAAAGCAGCGCATACAATCAAAGAGCCACGAGAAAACCTCATGTGAGTTCAGAATTTGAGAGGAATCCATTTATTGGCTGCAGAACTATGATTTCCAGCAGTTCATGTGTAGCCTGCTGGTGTTGACAGAGACTCAAGTGACAATCGTGATTTTGGCTGTTGTCATGGAGACGCCACAAGATGGCTCCTACCTTCTCGGAATCTGTGCTAGCATTTCAGTCAGCATGGAGACTACGCTACGGAAAAGACCGAAGAACCGGCGTTAGATTACAGGCAGAGTTCCAGATTTATCCCTTCTCCACAACATCTAGAACAGCACTAACACCTACTTAGCCCCCTATCCGATGGGTACAGGACATTTCTCTTTAAGGGTAAAGCGGTCGGAGAGTGCGGCTAACCGTTCACCTCCATCTAATATCAAGGTGACAGATACGTCGATCCATATTTCACTGCCCTCATAACCTTCAGGGGGTGGTGCTTAAGTGGGAACAGGAAGAATAATTCGACGTTATCGTGTAATTAGCGTGGGAAAGTATTTTCTTTCCCTCCTCTCGCCCCCACTGTGGAGCGTAGGGCCGATTTCTCAGTTTCATGATCATTTTACAGACGGTAGGACTCCTTGGAAGGGCGGTAAGCTCGTCGCAAGGCCTCTACCTAAACACACTACACACAAACACAGAATAAACGCATACACATATAAAATATACATGTCTTGTGTGGGATTCGAACCCACGATCCCGGCTTCCGAGCGAGAAAAGACAGACCGCTCGGCTACCGTGACCGGCGTGGGAAAGTACAGTCTTGAAAAATTGTTGTAACAAATTTTCACGTTTGCAAGCTCCCTNCGGTAAGCTCGTCGCAAGGCCTCTACCTAAACACACTACAACACAAACACAGAATAAACGCATACACGTACCAAATATACATGTCTTGTGTGGGATTCGAACCCACGATCCCGGCTTCCGAGCGAGAAAAGACAGACCGCTCGGCTANGTATAGAGACTGGTAGAATATCATACAGCGAAGCACAATGGACCAATACTGGTCTAAGTGCATGGGGAAACCCACCCTCTCCAATNTAAGTACAGTCATGAAAAATTGTTGTAACAAATTTTCAAGCTCCCTTATTAGAAAGCGTAGGTTTTTTGTAAAACCGTCTATATGTTTGGATGTACGTACGTGGATCTTACTAGAACCTGAAGCGCCTCCGTAGTCTAGAGGTAACGTTCCCACCTCATGACTCGTGGTACGCGGGTTCAAACCCGGCGGAGGTCGTGGAATTTTTAAGAGCGGAAAAATTCAGGGAACAAGTCCTCCGGGAGGGACTTTAAGCCGTGGGTCCCGTGTCGTAGCTTTACGGCACTTAAAAAAAACCTCATATCTCCAAAGGAGGTCACTGAGCCAAATTCAAGGACATTTCCCGCCCAACAGTAGTCTCTAACGCCTCTGATAGATGGGGGAAGCATTATAGATACCTCTCAGCCAGTAGAGCCGGTCTCGCTGGCTGGGCGGGACTGATGGTATGCACCAATACCGGTAGGGTATAGAGACTGGTAGAATATCATACAGCGAAGCACAATGGACCAATACTGGTCTAAGTGCATGGGGAAACCCACCCTCTCCAATAACTAACTAACTAACTAACTACTAGAACCTGAAGGGGATGGACGGATTTTATTCATACTCGGTAGTCAATGCATTATGTACGTAGTTCATTCGCTCACTCGCCCTACTTACTTCCGCCATGAAGATGGACAAAATGTACCCCCGAAACTTCTGAAACACTGTCCCATATTCCTGCAGTGGAAAGACCCAAGAGCACTTCAACATCAACAACGAGCGGCTATGAGAACCTATAAATAGCGCAGTGAAGCTTCTCCAAGTGGAGCACCAATCCTTCCACACGTAAGTGGACTTTACAGAGGAGGTTTCTGCGTAGAGGAGGATGAGAGAGGAACTGTTTTGATTGTGGTTAGCATAGTACAGCAAACACCAAACATACTGTGGCATGTCTGATGAAAGCCAGATTGTGGAGCCAGAGAAACAATATTCGGTAACGGCTGAGTAACAGGAATATTACTGGTACACATTTCTGTTAGAGGCTGAGTCGACACCAGGGCCGTAATGCGGATGGAAGGATTCGGTAAATTGGAAAAATCCACCTCATTGGGACTCGAACCCGCGATCTCCCGGTTTATAGCATTGTGCCTCAACCAACTACGCTAGCGTGTATATAGTATATACTGGGCGAATATATTGCCGATTATACGAATAACAGATGCAATAGGTAAATACCGTCCAGTGTCGGTAATTAAATAAAAACATGTGGATATGAACTATGTATAATACATTACACTACTGGTCTGTTAGGTTTAAAAACGGATCTACTGTAATCTGGGTTACATTTTTAAATCTGCTCTTTTACAATTATGTTCCCAACTCTATGATGCCCAAACCGGTGTCGGGGGGTACAACTGGGCCACCCTGTCACTGGGGGACATAAATACAGGGACCTGGTCCTCCAGGTTAGGGGGAGAGGCTAGAGGCTCCCTTAACTGTCAGAGAGGAAAATATCATGTCCCGTGTGACTACATGGCTGGCTAGGACCCGCAGCAATTTAACGGTCAATTAGGGACAGAGCTGCCTACGGTGGAGAAAAACAAAGGGCCTACACAAAATAACCGACCACTTCCCTCGGCGAAGAGGTGGCCCTACTTGCAAAACTAGTACACGTCTAAGAGAGAACAAAAACCTTGTTCGTGGATCTCCAAGTGACTCGAAGAAAAGAATAACTGTGCTGGCGAGAACCATGATCAATTTAATCGACCAAGCGAGGACAGGGGTTACCATTGTGAAATAATCTTTTTAGGTATGATTTGGTAAGAGCAGGCATGGTCAGTGATCGGGGATAGAAGCGGTCACGTTACACTAAAAACCGAACCCGCAGTACGAACATGTAGCCTCTGAGTAGGGGTGGCCGTTTAGAGAAGTTTCACTGTGTTTATTCTGACGTAATTGCGTTCTCCCGCTCTGCCCCAACACCCCCCCCCACTCACGGAACAGCTGAGCGTGTTTACCTGGAACGGAATAGCGAACAATCCGATGACGATGTCGGCCAGGGCAAGGTTTGAGATGAAGCAGTTGGTGACATTCTGCATCCGTCTGCTCGTGGCGACAATCCACATCACCAAGGAGTTGCCGACAACGGCGAGCACGGATATGGTTCCATAAAAGACGGACAGAAGGGCGATGATACCGGCTGGGACATCGTACAGACCTGCAACAGCACAACTCTTATCACGGCTCTCTGCGAAGCTCACCAATTCCACACCTTTCATGACATCCAAAATCTCCTTTCAGTGTCCACAGGGCCCGATCACCGGACCTTCTACGTCGTGGGTCACTGCTTTATTTTCTTCTCATATCCGCTTAGGTTTCCCAAAAGGTAAAAAGGGAAATTTGTCCCTGTACTAGACCTACTGTGAGCCGGGATAGCTCAGTTGGTATAGCGACTGGCTACTGGTTGGACGACCGAGGGGTCGGAATTCGAGTCCCGGTTGGGTCAAGAATTTTCACTTCTCCACGGCATCCAGGCCGGCTCTGGGGCCCACCCATCCTCCTATCCAGTGGGTACCAGGGGGTCTTTCCCCAGGGGTAAAGTGGCCGGGGCGTGAAAGTGACCACTCACCTCCAGCTAGTGCTGAGGTCAAGAAAATATGGATCTATACATCCACGCCCCCATACGCCTTCAAGGTGTAGTGCTGAATTTGTTAAGCACAGGGACAACGTTACCTTTTACAAGGCTTGTATTTCGGAGGTCCGTGGTTCGAATTTCGGCAAGGAGACCGTCCATCTTGAGGCTTTTATTGGTTTTCCTCAGTCCCTCCATGCAAGTTACTGGATTTGCTGTACGTGGTGTAGGCTGCGACCGCTTCCTTTACAGAATTTCTAATTCATTATTTACCATTCGCCATTTCACTGAACACTTATAATCTGAGATGCTGACAGAAAAAGTAGAAAGAGTAAAGATGGCCCTAGCTGTGGAGGCCCATAGGGTTGTGAGATGTTGAGGTTCCCACATTTTCTCTATACAGTCTGCTCATAGATGGCGGTAAGGTTGTCACCCTTACGCGTCGGCCGCCCTTTACCCCCCAAGAATATTCCTGGTACTCATTTCTGTTAGAGGTTGAGTCGACCCCAGGACTATAGTGCGGCTGGAAGGATTAGGAAAACTGAAAAAAATCCAATGAATTAATCGGGATTCGATCCCGCGACCTTCCGGCTTGCAGCATAGTGCCTCAGACACCAAAGAGGCAGTTTTTACTGGCTGTGATATATCATTATGTGAACCCGTTAGAATTTGCTTGCGCTTGGCGCACACAGCGGTGTTTGCAGCTTCGGTGAAAAGTGCCCAGAAATTGATTGTGACGTGATACAGCAATGTACAATAGTACGCGACAGGTGTCGAGGTTAACTAGATTCTGAATGTGTGCTGCGCTCTGGTGTACAGGTGCGACGTTTTTAAATGTCTTGCTTGCTGTGACATTTGCTGTTTCCGGTATTGTGCACATGGTCGGGATTTCACCAATATTACTATTATCACTGCGTTCGTTTTTCTATAAGCTTTAGAATTTTATGCAAGATTTGTGTTTTCACATCGGTAATTATGGAGAATACCGTTTTCTTGGATGTGACGTCGTGTAGGTCTGGTATAAACCGACGTTTCGGAGGAACGCATCGCCTCCATCTGCAGGGTAGAAAAATCCGGGTGAGCAAGTGGCTGCAGGACTCAGTCTGGATTAGAGAGATAAACAAACAGTAGTAAAGGTGTGGAAACAGCTTGGCAAAAATGGAGTTAGTAATTTATGTGCTTCAGGATAGTAGCTAACCTACATTTTGGTATAAACACTGGCGACGAAAGGACATAAATCAATGCTTACAATAAAATCTGATGATGTTACGTGATGTTATGAGGGCACGGAGCCGTGTGCGAGCAGAAGGATGGTAGTACCAGCTCTGCCGGTAGCTGCTTACTTATAAGAGTTTCTAGTATTTCTTTTGGATATTTGANATGTGAGCAGAAGGATGGTAGTACCAGCTCTGCCGGTAGGTGGACAATGTTCCTTCTCTGTCATCAGCTGCTTACTTATAAGAGTTTCTAGTATTTCTTTTGGATATTTGATATTATGAATAGACAGTGAGGGCCGAAAGCGGAGCCTATAGTAATATGTAATTCTTCTTTCCCCTCATATAAACAGGTAACTTGTTCGCTACTCCAAGTATAATTACAATGATAAAGCGAAGGAGGTTAAGATGGGCAGGCCATGTAGCACAAATAGTGGAGAAGAGGAATGCATATAGGTTATTGGTGGGAAAGCCAGAAAGAAATAAATCACTTGGTAGACCAAGGCGTAGGTGGGTGGACAATATTAAAATGGATCTTAGAGAGACAGGATTGGATTGGGTGGATTGGATTGATCTAGCTCAGGATAGGTACCAGTGGAGGGTTCTTGTGAACACGGTAATGAACCTTCGGGTTCCATAAAATGCTGGGAAGTTCTTGAGTAGCTGCAGAATTGGCAGCTTCTGAAGAAAGGCTCAGCTCCATGAGTGATATATTCTTGATCCTACCGGGACTCGAACTCCGACCCCTCAATCGTTCAGCCCGCTTCCAGTCGCTATCCTCCCATATATAACTGCAGGGATTAGCGTTTAAACCAATTACACGATATTTCACGAACAAAAGAAAATTTAATTATAAGAGATGTTTATACTGTATCCTATTGTGATGAAAATTTCTCATACTTAGCTGCAAAGATTCACAGCGAAATACAAGCGAACTTGTTATGTTACAACACAAACCATAAGTCACATAATTCTCCAAAGAAATTGGTCTGCAATATAATGGCGCTCATACCAATTGTCATGGAATTTTGTAAACCGATTCCACATGTTTGAGGAAGTGTCAGACACATCTGCAAGAACGCAGATTCACAGATGCTTTATTCTGTTTAATGAAGGCGTCAGTAAACCAGAAACACATGCGAGAGCACAATGATAACTCAATTAACTTAACTAAACAGCCCGAAATTAATTACAAATTAAGGGCCACGGAGACGGAAAGAAAACAAACATACGCACAGAAACAAAAGGCAATACAAGGCAGCACTTACCGTTTAAACATTAACCACAAAAGAAGAGTAATCCGGCCAACCACAACTCGATGAGAATATATATATGAACACATCACTCTTGAATATAATTAATATTAGAAATGATAATAAAGTAGTACATTTAAAAAAATTATTATGAGAAAATATTTTATTTCCAAATGAACGTCTCAGCGAACAACACCAGCAGCTGAAGTGTGCCTGACAGAAGGTAATTCTTTACCAGAAAAGCGGGAATTGAATATTCTCTGATGCACTATGCTACAAGCTGGGAGGTCGCGCTTTCTAGTCCCGATAAGGTGAATTTTTCAAATGGCCTAATCCTTCCAGCCGCACCCTGGCACAGGGGTCGACTCCGCCTCGAACAGAAATGAGTACCAGCAATCTTCCTGGGGCGAAGGGCGGCCGACGCGTAAGACGTACAACCTCACCGCCATCTGTGAGCCGGTTGTCTAGAAAATGTGGGACCCTCGACGTCTTACTGCGCTATGGGTGTTCGTGGCCTGTTACAGGGATAGCTTTACCTTATTTACCTTTTTGCACCTAACAGGAACTCGAAGGCAAAGAGTTTCCAAAGTGAGGGACAAAATCTGAAGCCAAAGGAAATATATAAGTATGTAGGGGTGGTTCGCGTAACGGGCGAACAGTAATTTGTATAGGATATTGGTGGGAAAGCCAGAAGGAAAGAGACCACTGGGATAACGAAAACGTAGGTGGGTGGACAATATTAAAATGGATCTCAGAGAGATAGGATAGGATGGTATGGAATGGATTGATCTGGCTTAGAATAGGGACCAGTGGAGGGCTCTTGTGAACATGATCATGAACATTAGGGTTCCATAAAATGCTGGGAAGTTCTTGAGTAGCTGCAACACTAGTGGCTTCTCAAGAAAAGTTCAGCTGCATGAGTGAGTGAGTGAGTGAGTGAGTGAGTAAGAATGATTGGAGCTGATACGTCACCTTACTTAAAATAAAATCAGTAATTGATATTCTTGTTTTGCCGGAAGTTTCGCCATGATTCCCAGACAAAAATGTCAAGTTAAAC